CAATGGCGCAAAAGTGGCAAAATGCAAACAATGAACATATGTATGTATATATGCTTCGTCTTAGTCAAAAAGCATCACAATCATAAAAAAAAAATATGAACCGATCAAATGTTCATCTTTTGGATTTACCTGATGAAATATTACTTATTATTTTGAACAAATTGAACAATATTGATGTACTTTATTCTTTATTGGATATTAATAATGGACGACTTAACGTTCTTGCACAAGAAAACACTTTCACTAACATTCTGAAGTTTGTCTCCATTGATGATACTTCTCTAATCGATCGGTTTTGCATCGATATATTACCAAGAATTCATCGTAAAGTCAAATGTTTTATCTTTGATCCAATTTTTATGGAACGTATTCTTCTTGTCATCGACTATCCCAATCTAACTGAACTTGAAATTCATCATTTCCATGCCCATGGAGTAAAATATTGAAGGAAACGGACTGCGTAACGCGTTTCCGAGGTTGTAGCATGCGTTTCGCAACGTTTTTGCAATATAGGACGCGTTTCGCAGCATTCTTACTTACATAAAATGCGTTTTGCCACAGTCGTTTTTTGAAACGATCCGAAACGCTTTTTTCAAGATTGCGTTTCGAGGCGTTTCCGAATTAAAATGCTGTCGAACGCACTTTGGTCGACAGGCGACGCGTTCCACAGATACAAATTGGGGGAAACGTAAAACGCGTTTTTTTTTCAAATGTGTGTTGCATTGTTTTTGCTTGGAATGATGCAAAATATATCCATTCTGCATACAGAATCTTGCAAAAATTCACCAACACAAAGCATAGGAGTTAAGCAAAGTAAATTCTTTAAAATTACTTTGGAAATGATATGAAATAGCACTTGAAAGTTTTGCTCCTTGCACTATTTTTGTACGTGAACATCATGACCCAGGATTTTATGAAGACAAGACTAAAATCAAAGTCTTGGAAATTTTTAGGCTGCTAGGCTGTTATCTAGACCTAATTCGAAGTTAGACTAATGTAAAACATCAAAGTGTAACAAAAAATATATTCTTCTTACTTAAAAACTCATTTCACCACGTTTTTTATTGAAAGAAAACGTGTTTCGTAAGGTTTACTTAAGAATTGTTTTCGACTTGTCCACGGAGGGAGATGATTCCGTCACGCTCGTTTGTAATGAATGAGAAGTTACAGACAAATTTGCAGTGTCTCATTTTGACAAGCACAATTTTTTGTCCAAGATTGCAAATGCATTGGATTCTAGAGATCGAGTCATTTGTATGAAATAAAACAAATAAGGCGTGACGGAATCACGTTTTACGTGGACAGGTCGTTTTAAATATTGAGCATTTCGAAGAGTTTTAGTAAAGACTGATACTAATATAATTAGTATAGTAACTCTCTTTGGTTATTTGTGAACAAAAGAATTATCGCGTTATCTATAATTTGAATAATTATTAGTTTGAGTTCATACTCGAACTAATTGATAATAACTAATGATACTGTGTACAATACTAGTAAACATGATTTTAATTTGTACATTGTTGAAGTAAGAGTGACTTTTTAATAAAAGAGATTCGATTTACAAAAGAAAACTCCTTTCATTTATTGATGTAATTGGATAAAACGATGACGGATTTACATTTACAAAAACCTATTAAATCAAGAAAATAAATAAAAGATTAAATTTTAAATTTTTTAAAATTTATATAAGAAATTTAATTTTTTATATATTAAATACAGTGTAAATCGATTAAATTCGTTTCTATTGTGTATCTAAATTTAAATCTGAAAGAGTTTAAATAAAAAAATGTATCAAGAAAAGACCACACTCGTAATTGGACATAGGCACCAAAGAAATGATAATTTTTAATTCAGTGGAATGGAAACTGAAAATCTAATTTAGTAAGTTTACGCGGGACTCTAAATGACAGTAGAATAAACACTTATATCATTAGATTATTTTAGCTGAACGGTTTGTATACATGTCTTATACTCCTATGTTCTCGTGTTCGAATCCGTGTCTTGACTGCATCAAAATTCATGTAAGTTATAGTTCTAAAGGCCAATGAAAAAATGTAAACGAATACATAAATTGTACCTGCAATTCAAGATCTATGAAGTCATTGACGATTTTCAATTTTTTTTCCATCTAGAATTTACGACGCCACAGTTTGAGAAACGCTGCGAAATTTTTCACAAAAACAATCGTTACACAGCGTTTGTTTTAGCAGATGTGAAACGCGTCAAACCGGTCAGCATTAACGCGTTTCGCAGCTATGGAAAAATGCGTTCTCAGAACGCGTTTTTTTCGCAGAAATTTACACCATGGGTGAAGAAATTGCTTTAAATTACTTTACAAGTGAGCATTTAATATGAGACAAATAATAAATGAGTGTTACAATGAATAGACTACAGTTTGTTTCATTTCATTGTTTTTTTCGTTTAGATAAATCATCACTTCGATCTATTTTCCAAGAACAAATTACAAATCTTATTCTTATCAATAATGATGAATGCGCAATGACATGTTCATCAAATTATACTGCAGAGATATATGCGCATATTTTGACCTTCTTCAAAAATTTAAAAATTCTACGTATTATAGAACCAAGTGTTGTGTCATATCCACCTCTATCACTTTGTTATTTGCCATCGACTACTTTTTCATCTCAAATTCTTACTCATTTATATATCAATGTGGAAACTTTTGATGATTGTCTTTACTTACTTGATGGTCGACTTAAACAATTGACAACATTGTTTGTTACTGTCTATTGCGTATTGAGGTCTACACCCATTATTCACAATATGGTAAGTTTATACAAATAATTTGATGAGATAAGAATAGTTACTATTTTAACGCAGTTTGAATTTTTGTCAAAAGATTTAATAAGAGATCGGATAGTTAAATTTCATGTTGACAAGAGGGGAAACTGATAAGTGTTGATGAATGTATCGGAATCAATGACAATAGGTTTTTACCTACTAGAAATTCTTTTTTAATAAAGTGATCAAAGAAAATTTGTAGAATTTATAATTAAATAAGATTGTTGAGGGTAAGTTTCACATTAAAAACTGGACTCTCTGTTTCATCCTTGATTAAATATTATCCGTTGTGAATAATCATCAGCACTGAATGGAACAAAACTTTTCGAATAATTGAGATATGAATGCAATTTTATCTGTTAGATTTCTATTGTTCTTTCAATACCTCACTTTTCATCCTCTAAAATTAGAATATCCAACTGAGAAATTTGTCATTTGCGGTCATTAACAGATAGAATATAGCACAGACACTCAGTGTAAATAACGATGGATATATGACTTAAGCATGTTGATCATCAATAAAAATTTGTTTTTTCTTTTGAAGAATAAACTATCTAATCTTAAGTGTTTCTCGTTAAAAATATTCGATAAATTTCAATCTTATGATAGAATTGCATCATTTTTGCGTCGTATGTCAAATCTGGAAAAATTAACTTTAAACTTTTCTATAAAAGATCGAAATAGTGTCATTGATGGTACTTATGTTCAACATGATATTTTTGATTGTATGCCACAACTTTATTCATTCACTTTCTATATTTGTACTTATGTTGAAACGGTTGATTTATCCTACAAGTTATCTAGTGAAGATATTCAACAAACATTAACGAATATTGGATTACAAGATGTCACTAATATTGTCAATTATGTTTGTGATTCAAGAGCTGCATGTTCGATTTTCTCACTTCCTTTTCAATTTGATTATCTCAAAGATCTTGGCAATAAATTTCCAAATATTGTATTCAATTATGTTACGTATTTACATGTGAAAGATAATGATCCATTCAGACATGAATTCTTCGTTCGAATTGTCCGATCGTTTCCATTACTGAAATATTTACGTATTTATAATGTACGATCATCGTTACCAGTTGATCTTATGACATTTTCATCTGACAATTGTCAATTATACTCAACTATTGAATATCTGCATCTAACTATACTTGATCTGAGTTGTGCACATAGAGAATATATTGAACAATTTCTAAATGAAACAAAGACATATATGCCTTGTCTGACGGAATTATTCGTCATGGTACGTGACTTGACAGTTGTAACAAAGAATTTTACAAGAAACGAAACACGACGCAATTGTGCCAAAGTGAAAACATTATTTATCCTACCACCACTGTTACATGTAGAAGGTTTATATGATTACTTTCCTTCGTTATATAAGTAGATATATTCTTGTTATGATGAATTGAATAAACTGAAACATGATAAATATTGTATTTATAGGCTAATGATATTTTTCAAATGTTAAGAAATATCAACTATTAATGATTGATTCTCATTTTAGAACAAAAAAATCACACAGTACCACATGATGCTGAAGAGTTATATGTAGAATGAAAAATATTCCTTTCGCAATTAGGGATGGTACTTTCACTTTCCTTTCTTGCATCTGACATTACTAAAGAACGTATTGATAATGATAATTGATTTTTGATTAGTTGGGAAAAAAGAAGAAATTGAACAATAAGAAGATTGTTTACATAACCATTGATTAAATGTTTGTTCAGATTTAATATTCAATAAATGATAATTTCAAAGCCCATTAAGAATATTTTCTCAATATTTTCCTGCTTGTTTAAGATAGTTAAAAATATTGAAAGAGAAGGTAGAAAGATTTGACACTAAACTAGCTGTTAAACATAATAATTTATTGCAATTTTTCTTTTGACTTTTGTTCAGTTCAAATTGTGCTCGGCCAAGTGCAGCTCGAATAAGTGGAACTGAATATTGATGAGACATCGAAAATTGTTTTTGTTTATCAAACTTTGCTAAATTACGAAATATACAAACATATCATTCCTCAGATATATGTTCATGATGAGGATGTGAAAGTTGATCAACAGTTCTTCAAAGTTTCATACAAACTAAATAAATAAGTTTTTATAGAATATTCAGACTTTGTAGAGTCATTCTATGTACGGAAGGAAGGTCGATCATTTTCACTCTCAGAACACTGTCTTAAACGATGTTTTATCATATTAAGCCTTAGTGCAATCTTTCATTCCTTTACTTGCTAAGACACAATCACTATTCTCCTCCACTGTGTAAACTCGTATAATTGAAATGTCAGAGATAGCAGTGTTCATCGTTTTTCTGAACTACAATCTTCGAAGAGTGCGATGCATTTCGTATGACCTATTGTCACTGCATATGTCGCACGCTGTATGAAGGAAGAGAAAAGAGAAAATTTGCAGTACTGACTTTCGCAGCGGACTTTCAGCATTTGTTGAAAGTCATCTGCGCAATTCATGTTATTCCAAGGAATGAGTAGAAACATGTTTTGTTATTCATATGATCAGTTGAAAAGTTTTCTCGCAACGAATCTGTACCACAAAAAGTGCCTTGGTGTGACACCCAACTTCGACAATGTCCCTCCATAGTCCCTCAAATGGTAATCAATAGTGCTTTGAGGCAATCCTGTTCGATCTCGAGTTCTAGCTGAAATATTTAGAAAATCAGGATTTCCTTATTAATAGGAAGAATGCTTGGAAAATAGAACCACTATGAAGTCAAAAAGTATTTTATTCCATCTAAACAATGAATTTTTCAGACAAGAAATCATTCGAAAACTTACTTTTATTTAAACTATTAGTCGTTGATAATCGTTTTTTTTGCAAATGAACTACTCAAAGCAGGTTTGTTCATTTTCGATAATTGGTTATCTTCAGAATGTGATCTTAAATTAATTCCTCGACATCAGTCTTCATAAAGTTCTGGTTGATATTTATATACAAATGAATCCCTACTAATTTTAACCATATCATCTCGACATTTACATTTTGTTCAATGTTTACCATATTCAATCCAATGTTTCAAAGCGAAATTTATTGATTCAGCACAACTGAATAGGTGGCAAAAGATCTAAAGTCAAAACGTCGAAAAGCAAAACATCGAAAATAATTTTTTCGAAAGTCTTAATAATAAAGTAGAAGCCACAGATTTTGCCCTCACCCACACTATCGGACTGTACGTTCGTTGTCCTTTTGTGGTTTGTTCATCAAAGACTTGAGTAAGATCCGGATATTGTGGCTACAGAGTTTGTAATTTTCGATATTTTGCTTTTCGACGTTTTGACTTTCGATCTTTTGACACTTTCCCGCACAACTAAAATCATAAGGGTGTAGGGTGTGGGTGTGGATGTGGATGTGGGTGGGATGGGTGTGGGTGGGTGTGGGTGTGGGTGTGGATGTGGGTGTGAGTGTGGGTGTGGGTGTGGGTGTGGGTGTGGGTCGGTGTGGGTGTGGGTCGGTGTGGGTGTGGATGTGGGTGTGGGTGTGGGTGCGTGTCGGTGTGGGTGTGGGTGTGGGTCGGTGTGGGTGCGGGTGTGGGTGGGTGTGGTTGCAGTGCTGCTCTGATCTTAACCCACACCCCATACCCACACTCTAAAAAATTTTCGTATCCTAGGAAACCCAAAGGGGTTCGGAAACCTACTCGGAAACCCTTTTCCGTTTCCGAGTGGGTTTCCGAAGTTTGGAAGCGTTTCTGAAAATACCCTTTGGGTTTCCGAACGTTCAGAAACTCAAGGGTTTCCGACAATACTCAACTGAACACTCTAAAAGTATTCTAGAATACCTTTTTCTTGCTTTCGGAAACCCAATAGGTTTCTCGAAAATCGGAAAGGTATTGTCGAAAACCCATATTAGTAGTAAAGCTAGATTGATACCCGAAAGGGTATGCGAAAATACCTTTTCATTTCCTAAATGGTTTCCGAAAATACCCAATGTGAAAAAGGATATCATAGGCAGACAATGGGTTATTTAAATTCAATCTGAATTTAAAAAGAAAAAAGAGCACTTGATTTCAAATTGAAATAGGGACTAAGGGAACTAATGGGACTAAGGGGACTAACGGGACTAACGGGACTAACGGGACTAACGGGACTAACTGAGGGGACTAAGGGGACTAAGGAGACTAAGGGGACTAAGGGGACTAAGGGGACTAAGGGGACTAAGGGGACTAACTAAGGGGAATAAGGGGAATAAGGGGAATAAGGGGACTATTCAGTGAGGAAGCGTGTTTCCCCACCTAACACATCTTTTATTTCAGCGTCGCGGTTAGGGCGCGAAGGGCCCCCCGAAGAGCCGCGACCCATGCACGCCTCTGTGTACACCATTATTCCTATCCTTAGATCGGTTAGTTAGTCCCCTTAGTCCCCTTATTCCCCTTATTCCCCTTAGTCCCCTTAGTTAGTCCCCTTAGTCCCCTTAATC